CCAGCGCATAAAAACGGGAGAGCTATTGCATAATATGGGAAAAGGAGAGAAAAATCCTTCGTACGGCACACTTACTTCAGAAGCAAGAATAAACAATATTTAAAAATGCATAAGCACAGATGGCATGTTTTCCTTAAAAAAAACGTTGCGAGAAAAATACAAGCCTCTTAAAAAGGAATAAAATATGAAAAGGAGGAGAAGTAGGTCAGAAAGAAGTCGTCAAAGGAAAAGGGGGGAAAACTAACAAAACCGAAATCAAAGATAAAGCGGATTCCGACGGCGCGTGGCTGTGGTGCGTGTCCCAGGCAGCTTCCTGCTGGGGCGACGGCGAGCCGTGCGTCCTCGGGTCGGATCCAGCGCCATCCCGGGGTCCCGCCCCAGCAGCACCGTGGGGATGCACCGTGGGCACCGTGGGATGATCCCATGCGGCATTTTGGGGCGAGGAGGAGCGGAAGCCACCAAGGCAAAGCGGAGCAGGGAGATGCCCCTCGGAGCTGCCCTGCCCGACGGGGGGCCGAGCCTGCCCACCACTACCGCTGCACGGTAAAAAAACCCCAAACCCCCACGTTTAGATTGCCCAGGAGTCGGAGAGGGAGGTTTGAAATACTTGTTTCTTTGCACCATTAACCATTTTAACAGCCTCTCTCCAATAACAATCGTTCCCACGGTTAGAAGAGCAGGTGCTCAAATAATAAGAGCGATCGAGACGCCTCGGATGGTCGTTATTATTAATACTGATAATAAAAGGGAACCAGGGAGACGCGCACTCCATGTGCTCTTGGACACCCTTTTGGTTTAGAGGCCGGTAGCTCTTTTCTCCGAGACATCTCCTGGGAGGTCGGTTGGGCACAGCAGTGGCCAAGAGGCAAAAAGCAGCGACGAAACTACGGCATCCTCCTTCCTGCGGTGAGGTGAGCCCGTGCAGCCGCTGCGCCTCCGCCTTTGGGCACCGTACCCCCTAGGGAGGGGGTCTCCTTACGGGAGAGGAGGACGTAACGCTGGGCAAGAGAGCAGGAAACCGAGCTGGGGACGTGCAGATGTGCAACAATGTGCACCGTCGCAGCGGCGGGGTAGTGAAACGCTGGAACGCTTTAGCAAGGGAAGCGATAAATTCCCCGTCGTTTGCTGTCCTCAAGTGGAGGCTGGACGGGTTCCTGGAAGATGAGCTTTAATTCACGGAAGTTATCGCACCCTGTAGCGTTAAATGCAGCCGTGGGATGAGGACCGAGGGGGTGAAATACGCTGACCTGCCTCCGCAGCAGATCAGGGGAGCTGCTGGACGGCCCCTCTTGGCCCCAAAGCCTATAACTATTCTCCCTTCCCGTAATCATTCCTGCAGCGACCACCCTCTCACGGCAGCCGTTCGCCCGTCCCCGCCCCAGCGGGGCGCTGCCAAGACCCGTTTTCCCAGCCCTAACGTGAAGGGAAGCGCTGCCAGGGCTCCCCGTGCGTTCACCAGTGGCCACCGCCGCGTTTACGCAATTAAAGAAACCAAGTAGGTCTCCCGTGAACTGCCGGGCTGGCGCTCCAGCCCCTTCCCCACTGATGTTTCCATGAGCAAAGAGGTGAGTGTGTGCAAAGCTCCGCGGTGGCTGCTCCTTAGAAGCCGCTGCGCCGAAGTAATTACCGGTGCGGCAAACGCCAGGGACGCGCAGGCACAGAACAGTTCCGTTACTGGTGTGGTTTTGTCCAGCAATCGGTGCCACGTTTAATTTTTTTCAGTCTTGACGCTCACGCCACCGATCTCTGGAGTGCCATGGTTGTCCCTGCTGCACGCGTTTACCCTCCCCGTCGCATCATCTCCACGCAGCTGCGAGCGCCAAAATTACATCACGGTGTCCATTATCAAACTGAGTGTTTTCAGAACGTTTTTGTTCTAACTGGTGTTCTGGAAATGGATCAGTTGGAGAAGGACATGGATCAGTTGGAGAGGGTCCAGAGGAGGGTCACGAAGATGATAAGAGGCCTGGAGCACCTTTCCTATGAGGACAGGCTGAAAGAGTTGGGGCTGTTCAGCCTGGAGAAGAGGAGGCTCCAGGGTGACCTTATAGCGGTCTTCCAGTACCTCAAGGGGGCCTACAGGAAAGATGGGGAGAGGCTGTTCAGGAGGGCCTGTTGTGATAGGACAAGGGGTAATGGTTTTAAAATAGAGGGAGGTAGATTCAGATTGGATATTAGGAAAAAATTTTTTACCATGAGAGTTGTAGAACACTGGAACAGGTTGCCCAGAGAGGGGGTGGATGCTCCATCCCTGGAGACGTTCAAGGCCAGGTTGGACGAGGCCCTGAGCAACCTGATCTAGTTGGAGATATCCCTGTTCCTTGCAGGGGGGTTGGACTAGATGACCTTTGAAGGTCCCTTCCAGCCCTAACCATTCTATGATTCTATGATTCTATGAAAGTGTTGCTGAGCGGAGCGAGCTACTCAAAGGAAACTTCAGGCTGCACCCTCACCCCACATTCCTTTTACACCTTGCTTCTCCCCCGCTGCCCAACTGCAACGCAGCCGCGCTGCTCTCCGCAAAGCCGACGCGCGGCTCTAGCCCGTTTCTAAACGGAGGGGCTGCACAAAAGGGTTAAACGCCCACGAAGGCAGCAGGCGCACCCTCCCTCACCTGCAGCGAAAATAACGTCCCAGAGCGTTCTCTTTCCTACGAGGGGCCGGTCGGCCGAGCAGCTTACGGCGAGCGCAAGAGACAGGCTGTGGGAAAACACCGTCTTTCAACAGAACTGGTTTTATTGTGGTGAAAGGCTGCGACTAAAACCAGGTGAGGAGGAGGAGGAGGATGACACAGCGTGCTTTACCCACTACGTACAAACAGAGGCGCTGCCCAGACTCGAGCCTCTCGATTCCTTGCTCGCCCAGGGAAGAAGCAGTAACTCAGGCTTCCATCCGCGTTTTAACAGCCGTTAAGAAACAGGGGAACTAAAGGGTGCAGCTTCTCGAGAGACTGGCAAACAGAAAAGAACCAGGAGACACGTCCAGTACGTGCCACGGGATGGCCTGGCGAGATGAGAAATCAGCTGGCAGGTTTATCGCCTTCTCCGTTCTCTATCACTTTCCTTTTCTTTTCATCCGTTTTCCTCTTGAAGATGCTATCTCTGTAGAACTGAAGTTCTTTGATGCTTTCCCTGATGTCATCGAGCGCTCTGAAAGAGAATTAAAGAGGGTTTCAGAACACCTGCATGCACCCGCGGCTACGTCTGGGTTCCAACGCTTCCAAAATGTTCCCGGCTGTGAGAAATCGAACTCCGATACGCACGGATCGCACGTCCGTCAGAAACGAAAACCCTGGCTGCTCTCGGGCACACGGAAAGCAGAGGAAAACAAGAGCAAAACAGATTAGATAGAAGAAAGAAATTCTTTACGTTGAGGGTGGTGAGGTACTGGAACCAGAGAAGTTGTGGAAGCCCCATCCCTGGAGGTGTTCAAGGCCAGGTTGGATGAGGCTTTGGGCAACCTGGTGTAGTGGAGGGTGTCCCTGCCCATGGCAGGGGGGTTGGAACTAGATGATCTTTGAGGTCCCTCCCAACCCAAACCATTCTATGATTCTATCTTCTCCGTTCAGAAGAACTAGAGAACAGCAGCTCTCTATAAAAGTGCCTTAATGCTGCACAGAAGCTTTTTCTTCCGAGACCTCGAGGCAACTGCAGCTTTTAGGGATGCCTGAGGTGCCGGCAGGAGCGTAACTCAAAATGAAACCCTTCCAGAGAAAGGAGAAGGAGCTCTCTGACACGTTACGAACTCAGGAAACAGCCAGAACTCCCGTCTCCCCGTTTGCAGTCGTCCAATTTTTGTGTCTCTGCAGACAGCCCTGCCCAGTACAAGGACAGATAAAACGGGCTGTTGACGCGATTTCTTACGGCCATCTCTACAAATACCTGCCTTGCCAAAGAAGCATTGGGGCTTGAACAGTAAACAGAGCGACTCAGAACAGGTAAGGAAGCTCCTGCTCCCCCATATTTAAAGAATCCCTTTCCCAACACTAACCAGGCTTCAGACAGAAGACCACAAGCGTGCGACAGGGGGCAGAAGCAGGCAGCCCCCGCCGCCGGCGGCATCGGAAGGCGCATGCCTGGCACTCGGAGGAAGCTCCGTGTTCTGCTCGTGAGGAGCACAGTTCCTGCGTGACAAACCCTGCTCTGTTATGGACAAAAGTAGAAAACTCACCTGTGAGAAGCCGCCTTCTTTGGTGCAAACTCGTATTCTTCTGGATACCAGCGTCTGTAAGCGGAAGGAAGCACCATTTAAAAAAGGGAACTGGGATTTAAAGACACGTCCAGTGGCTGCTGTGGGTTTGCTACAACTGGTGAAAGAATTTACGTTCCCCCAGCACCCAGAGAAGCCACGACCCCGCGAGCCCACGTGCCCGGAGCCCCAGAGCAGCCACTGCCTTCTTCCACCTCTTCTGTTGGGGTGGCTGCACGGAACGAGCCGTGACGCCGTGACCAGATGGAAGCGCGCGGGGGCTGTGGGCAGCCCTCTCCCCAGCATGGCTGGAGAAGAGCGAGCGTTAGCGCCGCGTAATGGGCTTCCCCAGGTCATTCCATCCAGCCACCCCATCTGGGGAACACTTACCTGCAAAGCTCTTTGACAGTGCTCACATCAATGATCCTGTAGTGAAGATGCCTCATGAACTGAGGCATGTATTTGTCGAGGAACTTCTTATCGGCGTGAACGGAGTTACCTACAAAGACACGAAACAAGACGTTTCTTCAAAGACGTTACAAAGCTGCGACAGCCGAACGAGAGGCAGGCTGAGCGAGCTGGGGAGAGATCAGAGGGTACGAAAAGCTATTTGCCAGCAGCTCGTTTATCCTGTTTTCTAGTAAATACGACAGGAAAAGCTCGTCAGATGTTCGCTTCGGGATCACACGCCGTTTAAATAGGTAATCCCTCTACTAACTCCTCAGTTACCACCCCTACAGTTTCCATCACGCAGACGAACATCAAAGCATCATGCAAGCATCGGGTCTCCCACCAAGTGGAAACAGGCATCGGCACTGGTTTCACGTAGCACCAGTCCCGAGGCCGCAGGCGAACGTCCCGACCGTGGCTGCGGGCAGCAGGACGTTCGGAGGGTTTCGTGTGTGGCGCTCGGATCGCGACGCGCAGCGAGGAAAGGACACGCTGTCGG